TATTTTTGAAATATGGTATATATATGGTTTTATACAGTAAAAGATCTCACCTTCATTAATGAAAAGTCTGCTTTGATAAAAATATTATCTAGAAAATAAAGGGAAGATGAGTCAAACTCCTGTTTGTGGATTTTAAACTTGTAATGACATGAAAAGTTTTCATGGAATCTGTGGGTATCTTTTGCCTCATCTGAGTCCTGAAAAAACAAGGTATTACAGACGCATACAGGACCATGATAATCACCCTGCCACCCCAAGATGCTTTCGGAGAAACTTTTCTGCTCGCAGCCCAGCTGAAAGGGCAGGGGCGGCCCTGGAAAGATCAGCGGCATCACCTTCCAGATTCAATGTGGTTGGTTCAGACTTGGACCCTGAACCTGGGATAGTAATACCTTGTCTTAGTATTGACCCTGGTAGATGGGCTGATGATAACAACAAAGCATAATCACATTTACTCTAGGATAACGTGAATTGAGACTAATACAGCAAATCACAGATACTAAGACGAATTAAAGCATAATGGATAGCTAGAGAGAAGTGGTGAGCTCAAATCAAGGCCCAGAGCACATTGCTTATATAATAAAGCAGTGATTATGTATTAGCAGGAGCACTAAGGAGAAAAATATGATAGAGGAAATACATAGAAGGCAAGAACGCGTGTCTATAGTGAGGGGAGGGAGGTAGATGTGCAGAGAACGCTTGACTCACAGTGTCGGATGAGGTCTAGAGAAGGCTCTAAAAATGACGCCGGTTGAGCTCAAAAGAGTTGCCTTTGACTCAGCGAGTCTCAGCTTCAGTTTTTGGGTTTCCATGACTGGGTTTCTTCTTACTCACTTCATGTGTCTCCTGTTATATGAGGTGAGCAAAATGTGAATCAGTTCCTTTCAACAACAACAAAAAGAGTACAAATAAAAGAGTGAGTTATAACTTTAATCTTTTAAATGCTTTTAGAAGTTTCTCCTCACAAAGACTTTATACTGACACGAATATATTTTTAGGCTCCTTTTAGTGGCATTAACATGCTGTAGTGTGGTAGTACACAAACTCTGGTCCATAAACTTGCTGTACCAGAATTGCCGGTGGTTTGTGACACAGACTCTTGGGTTCCATCAGCAGAGCCTACACACATCACGTCTAGGATGAGCCTGGGAATCTACAACTCAAAAATATTTCCCAGGTGAAGTGGATGCACAATTACATTTAGAAAAAAATAAGAATTTAGATTTAGAAGGTAAGATTCAGGCCTAGAGAAGTAAATCATTATTTTGTCTTTCCAAGTTTAGATTTTCTCATCTTGAATATAGATAATAACATCCTCTGCCATGGTTTTGAAGGTCAGTGAGATAATATACATGAAAAGTCCAACAACTGTGGAATAGAAAATTAATTGCCTGATTACTGAAGTTCCTTAAGGCACTGGTGCTCCTTCGCGCAGACCGACGCAGCTGTAGATGGCCCTGCCAGTCCACAGCCCCTCCAGGAATTCGGGGGCCACAGCATTGTCACAGAAGGCCCCCAAGCCGACAGGACCAGTCTAAGTATCCCCACGCCCAAATCTTTCAAGAATTAGGACCAATTTGGTTAGTCATGTACAAATAGTAGTAACAATAAAAGAGTCTCTTTTTTCTTTATTTGAGACTTCTATTTTATTTTCGGGGGTTTACTTTGTTTTCTTTGGGTACATTTCTTTTTTCTTCAATAAAACAAACACTTTTTAACTCTATAGTTCTTTTTATTAATGGAGATACAGAAGTTAATAACTGAGAAATAATTAAGAACCAACTTACATCTATAAAAAGAAACATTACAAAGCCATTACAAATGAAAATTTCTCTTGTGTAATCTATATAAAAAGGCAGGATAAGGTGTACATACACAGCGTGATCCCCATACGTAATACATTGCACCCCCCGTACACGTACTGACACATACAGGCATGGTATTTCAGATCCTGAAAGAGTGCATATGAAAAATTTACCAGTGATTATATTAGGCTCACTTCCTGTATTTTTGTATTTTCCAAAATTTCTGTATCAACTATGTATTATTTCACAATTTAACAATAACTATTAAAATTATTTTTCAGTTAAAAAATAAATGACTATATCAGAGGATGTAAGTGGCCCAATGACATCAGACCTCAGTATGAAATGTCTTCCGTGACCACCTGTGTGATTCAGAAACTAGCATGGAAAGGACCCTCAGCTTGGACCTGGGACCCCACGAGTCATGGGGCTCTCCCAGAGTGATGCAAAAGCTTATAGGTTTGTTCTGCAGTCGAAGGAGTAAGTCCCACTTGCACAATCACCCAGGTCTCAGGGTGGAAAAGAGTGAGTACCAGTTTTTCCCAGTGGAGAGTTTTGTCCTGACCTCCCCCCCTCCGCCCGCTGCCTTCGATCTATAACAAGTGAGTCTGGCATAGTAATTTCTCAACTACGTGAGTCAAGTTACACTGAAATGTAAGTTGGGGCACCTGTGTTTAAATCTCTTCAGACTGTTAGTAGGCTAAATATGAAATGAAATAAAATAGAGAATAAATAATTTGACCAAACAAATAGTTCAAGGATTTGTGAAATATTTCTCAATTGACTTCCTAGGGACATACACAGAAAATGTTACAGGATATCACAGGTCATGGGAGAAATGTCATTTCTTGCTACGGCTTTTGGAGTCCAAAGTTACTATAAAGATAATAAAAAAGAAAGCTGAACAGAGAGGGTACCGGTACTAGAGACAGAAGTCAGGTTTGAGTTCTCATTATACCACGAGGTGTAGGTGAGTGACCTTATGCAAACCAGATTTTTTCAAGTGTAAAAGTGAGATAATCCCACTGCCTCCTTTAGAGTGTTCTGAGAATGAAGTAAACAATCGTATGTGGAAACATTTTGTAAAGAAAAAAAATCACACGTACGTGTACATACACACATGCACATACCTCATTTGCTTTTTCATCCTGGCAACTTCTTATCTACTTTTATTACAATTTATTTACAATGAAAATAATTACACATCTGTTTTCTTAAGAGCCAGTGAGATGTCCCAGATTCAAACAGATATCCTGAGATGTAAGATGTTGCAAAAATTTTTCCTTCCCCAAAGCAAGACTATTCAAGGTCCTTCAAGAGGAGAATGCATTCAAATTTATCAACAGATTTCAAAATCCTCCCTTAGATCTTGAAGTCATTTGCTGCTGCCATACTGTAGAGACATTCTCAGCTGGAGGGAATTCAGACACCGGCTGAAGGTTTTTGGGCTGAGACTTCACCATCAGCAACCTCCCTCAGTTCCCTCTGGGCATGAGTTTATCTCTGCGGAGGGTTGAAAAGTACTTCTCCATCTCATAAAAACGGGAGACACTGAATTATGTGTGTAGGTGTAATGGTGCAGCAAGGGGTTCGCCTGCCTGTCACCCTTAATTCACATGACCCGAGGATTTGTGTTGAAGGAAACAGGTTTTTATGAACAGGGTTCCAACTCTGGGGGCTGAGAGCACTCCTGCTCTGAGCCCTCCTCTCCCACAAGGCCCAGAACTTCTCTTGCTCCCCAAAAAGCTACAAGCCAAAAAACACCACACTCTGAAGCCCCCCATTTCCTCATCCGCCCTTAAGCCAGCGATGCAAACCGATCTTCATCCTCTCTGGGACGTGCACTTGTGGGTTTCAGAGTCGCCATCTTCCTGCAGCAAGCAGCTCTCTTTCGGGATCTGGGGTGCGCTGTTCTCAGTCCCCACGTAGCGGTCCAGGACCTGTGTGCCTCACTGCACTGGGTCATAGTACCCCAGAGGCACGTGTCTCAGCATGGGACCCTGCCCCCAGGAGTGGGCTTCCAACAGTGCAGGCCTAAGCCCCTGTTGAGCGTGGCATCTGCCCCCAGGTCCGGTCTGACGAGCACTCCCATCCACGTGGGGAGCAAGGGCTAGAGACCCAGCACCTCAACTAAAAGTCTCAATCCCAAGTTCCTGGAGGCAACAGTCAAGAGGGAGCCTGCACCGAGCTGTACAAAGCAAGAAAGCGCCAAACCAATGGAGCAGCTTCTCCGCAACTTTGTTTTAAAAACGGCCTTCCCAAAACACCACATGCACAGGAAGCTGGTGGGAATGTCCAGCTTTTTAACCCATGACCACGTTTGTCTCTGCTCCTGTTTCCAGTCCTGGGCAGGAGTCTCCACTCACCCTGGGTGGGGTGTCTAGTCCTCACAGTTCACAGGCATTGTCACAGGCCTGTGTCACCAGCTAGTAGCTCAAGGCTGTGTGCTATTAAGCTCCAGCTCTAGTGGCAGCCTTCCAGGCCCCCTGACTTTTTGCTGGATTTAGGCTGAGGAGGCGGGGCAGGAGTGGGGGGAGGGTGCTGGTTTCCCTGGACCTGGGGTCTCTTTTTCTCCAGTAATCTCTAGTCTGACCTGCCCCATTACATATACCAGCATATACACAGTTCCACTTGCACTTGAGCATTTACCAACCGAAACTAGTGACAAATCAAAAGCAAAATAAGATATTAACCTGTATATCTGAGTACATTACTATGACATACCTTTTCAACATACAATTTTCATTTTAACAATAATTACATTCAGGACTCCCTTTGAAAAATTGCTACGTGTAACCAATTGCTACATGTAAGTCAAATCATCATATTGTTCCAAGTCTTAGATTAAAACAATGTGATTTTCCTCATCTACAACAAAAGATTCTCAATAACCTGGGAAGACATAACAGAACTATGCTGGGCAGCCAAACGAAGCCTTAGTATTTTACTCCAACTTCTGGCACTCCAACACAAGCACTAGTTATTTAGAAATGTGCTACCATCATAATATTTTTAAGTACATGAGCCCTAGAAAAAGAGATATCCTATCCATCAGCATGTCCTGCGGGCGGGAGATGGACAGGGGATTGCCAGAGAGAGCACACAAAATCCATCTAAAGTAACCAAAGCAAAATACAAGCCCATTGACTCCATGCCGTGAAAATAACAAAATGTTTACACTGGTCCTCATTTTCGTTAATTCTTTTTGAGGCAGAGAAGTCTCCTGAATTGTTGTTGGAATTTAGAATTACTCAAGATGATTACAACTGAATGGCCAGAGGGATATGCTCCCATTATGTCCTTTACCACAAAGTGCTGCATTTTGTAAGGAAAGCTGAAGGTCAGGTTTGCCATGAAGGCGCCAAAATAAGAAATAAAGAAGAGGAAGAATGTTAGCATCATTCTTAAGGCATTGATGTGGACTTGCATGCTCACACCTCCCAAACCACGAGATCTGTCTTGCATCCGGCGAGCATGCTTGCAGAGGGAAAGGAGTAGCATACAAGTGCACACCACGAATACAGCTAGAGGGAATATGAGTGCCAAGTTCACAAGAAGCACTTCGTCTGTGTGCTTTAACTTGAGTTTACCCCCAGTTCGCGTGACATTCCTGAGGACACCACCCTCTGTGTTTCCAGGGTAATCCATCTTGACACACAGAGCTGCAGTGCCCAGGGAGGCCAGCAGGCTTCCCAAGAGCAGCCACGGCATTAACTTAGGGATCCTGAATTTCAGCCAGAGAAAACAGGACTGAGTGAAGCCTATTAACTTGAAGCAGTAAAACAAAGAGAGGCAGGTGGCAAACCAGAAACTGGCGGAGTTAAAAAACATCCAAAGGAACATCAGCGTTGCGCCATGAATTTTTTCCTGATAAAGGAGCGGAAAGAACACAGAGAAAAAACCCTGTACCATTAACACCGTCTGCAGACCAAATCTAGACCCCCCTATGCATATTAAAAGGAGTTGCATTGGTGTTAGCTTTCTGATCTTGATTAGTTCATTACAGCTGATGATGATAAGAAATCCATTCACTGTAATCCCTGTAAAAAATTCTGCCCACATGATAATAACGTGAGGAATAGCTGATGAGAAGGGCATGTCTCCTACCACAAATCTCAGCTCTTCCTTGTGGATGGTGTTAAATACCTTCTCCAGCTGACCTTGCAGACAGGAACATATACTGAAAAGTCAGATTCTCTGCCCACTCTTGGGTCATAAGTAGAGTCTTACACTAGACATTTCCCGTGAAGAAGAAAATCAGAGAGACTACTTTTTGAATCTGATGCCCTTAATGATCTGGTGGGCATGCAAATTCAAAGATTTGAATGATGGTTTGGTCTTCCAATTATATCCTAGAAAAAACTGCCATACTGATATCATTCAATTCTCACTTTTACTCAGTTTTGACAAAAATATGATTATAGAGGTTTTACTTAGGGCTACTATTATTTCTTTTTTGTCTTTTTTTTCCTAATGGCAAATGCCACATCTGTGGGCCAGACCACTATTTCCTACTATTTACCCAAGTATCCAAGCTCAGTATACTTTTTTCTGATAATAATTCCAAGATATTTTAATATATTTCCCTCCCACCCCAAGCCCCACCAAAGACAATTTTTTCTCCACACGTGATAATCATTTCCTGGGCACTAATTCTGTATATGAATCCTGCATTCATTCCCCTAAGTGACATTTTATATTTCTAAATCCTTCTTGGTAGAATTCTATTCTGAGGGCCATCAAACTAGTGATAAAACTAGTGCATAATTAATCCATTCCTGATATCATCCTATGTTCATGCTGAAGAGCAACCATCCATCATGTGAAAGGTAGATGGTAGAGAAACTTCCAACCACCAGCAGAGGGCGTAATTACCTATGTGTTAAAACCAGCTTAGGTTCTTCATTTCCAAGAAATATTCCCCTAACCTTGTTGAACTTAAGCCACATCACAGGTAAAATGTAAATAAATCATTACTACTTCATAAAGAAGGTATAGTGCTCAAAGTGCTTAGCTCAGTGGTTGGGTCATGCTAAGCACTTAACAAATGTTTACTATTATTATTACTGTACGTCTGCCTTCATACTGTGTGTACCCCAGCAAGAAAATAATGACTCTATTTAGAAATATTTTCAACAGTTTAAATATTTTCTATAAGAATTAAGATTGTAAGAGCATTGAAAATAGAAAAGAGGCAATGAACTAGACTTGCCACCCACTGCCAACATCATTCATGGTATGTAATGCCTTCCAGAGTCATCCACAGAATGTTTATTCACTAGCCCATGAAAGCCAATGTCAGGCCAACCTGTGTGACATTCCCTGGACAGTTTTATCACTCTCCCACTCCTCTTCTTAACATCACAGCTATCCAAAATGCAGCAAGGTTTATCCTCTCTCCAGCTCTTCAAACATGCTGGTTCTCAGAGCTACACATCAATTTTGCCTTTGGTTTTTGGACTTGCAGTCTTCCTAGTCCAGAACATGTGACTTTGCCCACTGAGTGGACCTCGCCTCATGGCCTGCAGGAAGCTACTCCCATTCTATGTGTAGGTGAAGAAGCTTTGTCTCAATTGCAAACTCTGTAGGCCAATGTCATATTCCTGAGGTGAAGGGGAAGAAAATGGGATTTGGGCAGTTTATAGCTTAGTATTTCAAGTTACCTCTCTGGGATGGGCTGGTATCTAAAATGAATGATAGCATGTAAAAGGAAATGATAAATGAGTTTTCAAGTACTGTGGACCACTACAGCTTCTGGTTCTTAGTCAAAATAAAATTTCAATTAATTATAGTGTGTTATTTTCCAAAAATTCCGTTGTAATTAATATTTTGTTATGAATATGTTTCTATGAATGAGCTTGTTGAATTAAAGATGCTTGAATAAATGATGAATAATTGGCATACACACAACCAGCCAGTTTATATTTGGATGGCATGTTATTAGTTGTGTGATGTTAGACTAAAATCTGAGGATCTATGTTGACTATTAGGGTCATTGCCTTTATTATGATAGATGTTCAGTGCTTATGTCTATACTGTTATGAAGAATATATGAGTATGTCCAAAATATGTATATCTTATTCTAGTATAACAATATGAATTTTTAAAAATCCCAAATATTTACCATATAACCAGTATTTGGGAAGACAATCATCATATTATTTGTTCATTCCCCATTAATTCCTTTTTTATGGTCCTTTCTCTTAATTTTCCGTGGTAAACTAGGGCAACAAAAGATGGATCAATGTACAGATACTCTTGATAGCCAAAAAAAGAGATAAAGAAATTAACAAGTTGATTGTAATCAAGATGAATTTTCTATGAAAATTATATTTTGTACAAAGCAATTTTTAAAAAAATTGAATATTTTAACAGCTACCTCAGAATGTACATATATTATGATATACAATTCCTTAAAAATATAAAATCATACAAAACTTTTTATAAACAGCTTGAATCTCATTTCTTAGGTTAAAAATTAATTTGTAATGGGGAAACTATACTCACTGAGTGTCCAAGTGCTTTAAAATTTGTCACTGAGTCAGTTTAAATCAACCTTGCATTTGGTACATTCAAACGGCTGCAGCTGGCAGCATGGCCCAGGAGTGTACCATTCTGCTGAGATTTGAATCTATCCAGAACTGATTTTATTCTGAAATCCTGCATTTCAACTTTCATTTGCCTCCCTAAACACATCAGTTAATTAAAAAAGAAAGCTTGAATTTTCCATGAGCTATTCTAAACATGTAATTGATGGTCAGCCACAATTTAGCTGGTTTGTATTTGCATTTGCGATTTTCCTGTCTTATGTGGACTATTTTGCATTTGCCATTTTTGAATCTCATTTTGGAAAGAGCATTTTAGTTGAGAGCTCTTTCTCAGATCTGGGGAAAAGTTAACTGAGAGTAAGACAGTCTTGAAGTTAATAATCTATAGGCTTCTTTTTAGATCTGGAAGGCACCAGCCAGAGAGATTTTTTTCAAGTTAAACAATTTCTAAACGTTTTACAAAAAAATAAATACTTTTCAAAAAGAAATAACAACATCCACCATGAGACATTGGATATTTATGATCTGTTAAGTGAATTTCAGTTTAGACATCAACATAGTTTCTTCTAAATGCTCACACAAACCCTGAAAACAGGCATTCTTTCAATGAAGATTTTTGTTCATTTGTTTTGAACAACATGGTAAGAGTCACCTAATTTGAAGATGATGTTCGTGAATTGCTCCAAAAAATAGGATGGACTTTAAACACTGATATTATGTCTGGGTACATCCTATGCACAGCCATCAGCTTATTTAGTTCTCTTATTTAGTTCTCTAATTGCACAAACGTCCAAATTTTTAAAACAGGCACATTGAATTGTTACTACTTTCCAGTACTTTGGTGCTTTATGAATTACTAAGAAGACTGAAGCTTCTTTTCATACTATAGTTGAAAATATTTTTGTTTTCAATTTTTCCACTGCCCTGGCTTTGGTTCTGAAGAGAGAATTGACTCAAAAGAGTGAATCCATCTGGGGACAAAATTAATCCATTGAATTAGCGTATTTCTATGAAAAGCACTCAAAATGCTTTTTCATTTTTTGGTCTTCTGTAAAGATCTGACTCAAAATTTCACTTGCAGTCTGTCTTGTCATTATATGGTCATTGGAGATATAAAGAGTCTATGTGGCTTTAAAAAATCTCTTGGCACATTGGCAAGAGACTTGGCCCTCATACATTGGCAGCATGAGGGCCATTCTCTCCTTGACCAGGCTCCAGTCGCTGGAGAAACAGTGTTTTAAAGTCCATGCAATCTGTCCTCATGTCTTTTCATGTTCGATGCATTCTTCTTTTATGTTGGATTGATTTTAGTGTTTGAATAAGTTGTCTGTGTGGATTTTGAGCTCGAAGAGAAACTTTTTAACTTAGTTTCTGAGTTTCCTCCCTAAGTTTCTAGAATATTAAGAGGTAAGTGATGGAGACTCCAAATAGAGTGGGCAGCAGGCTTATAATCCTAGAGGCCAAAACTATTCCCACATGTGTTATATTTCATTCTTGAATTATTTTCTGAAAACAAAGTAGACATCAAATTCAAATAATAGAAATTAAGGAAATTTGCTAAGCATATTAATATTTGACAATGATATATCAGGTAACTTGCTATAATATTAGCAAACATTTATTTTGTTTTAAAATACATTTTAAGCACTGTTCTACATACAGTCATTTAATACTTAATAAAACACTATGAAATTATCTCATTTGATGAACATAATGAAGTTCAGAGACTAACGCTTCAGAATAGTATAAAGATTTGAATGCAGTCTGACTCTGTCTGGAGTCCACATTTTTGAACAAAACACTACAGTATATTCAGATTATAATACTTTGCTTCATCACAACTGTTAGAAAGCACCTGTAAAATCAATTGAAGAATCACATTTTAACAACCATAATACTTTCCTTCCCTGTGGACATCAGTAGGAAAAAATTAAATATGGTCCATTTGTTAAGGAGCATGTCGGTGAAGTGGGGGAGCGTGGAGACCCTGTGTTATTAGCATGTCTGTCTGCATTGGGATGCCTGGGAACCAAGGCAGCAAATAAACCTAATAGTAAGTATTCAGCTATTGAATTTTCTGTGGAAAATGAGACATAACTCAGTCCATAGGATTCATAAAAACCATATTGGTAGAGGAAAGGTATTAGATTCTATTTCAATCATCCCATTTTTAAAAGGTATTTTATAATCTTAAAGATCAAGTGACCTATTCAAGGTTTAAAGGAGTAAAAATAGGTAGAACTCATGCAGATCATTTCACTTTTCTGGGCTTATACATCTTCCTAGGCAAAATAAGTATATAGGGGAAAATATGAATGTTTATGATTTTGATTTTGTCAACATTTTCACACTCATTTTCTGCCAAAACCTTGGAGTGGTTGAGCTGCCTTTGTGTGAGCTATGCCCCATCATTACATTATCCATTAATTAACATACTGGCTTAATGTCCTGCTTATGGACCTCTCAACTCCCTTCACCCCAGCTGATATCACAATGGTTATTGTAACTCTACTTAGAAGGCCTTCCTATGGGCAAATTTTAATTTGTTTT